TTGTTAATTTGGATACTGTCTTTCTGCCTTTTAGTTAATTTGGCTAAGGGTTTTTCTATTTTGTTGGTTTTCTGAGAGAACCAGCTCTTAGTTTCATTGATTCTTTGTATTGTTCTCTTTATTTCTGATTTATTGATTTCAGCCCTAAGTTTGATTATTTCCTCCCATCTACTACTCTTGATTGTGTCTGCTTTTTTTCTCTAGAGCTTTCAAATGTACTTTTAAATTGCTAGTACAAGATCTCTTCAATTTCTTTATGAAAGCACTTAGTCCTATGAACTTTCCTCTTAGAACTGCTTTCATTGTGTCCTATAAGTTCAGATATGTTGTGCCTTTGTTTTCATTTAATTCTGGAAAGTCTTTAATTTCTTTCTTTATTTCTTATTTTGTGCAGTGATCATTGAGTAGAGAGTTGTTCAGTTTCCAATAGTTTGCAGGCTTTTTGTTGTTTCTGTTGTTGTTGAAGTCCAGTTTTAATCCATGGTGATATGATAAGATGCAAAGGGTTATTTCAATCTTCTTGTCTCTGTTGAGACTTGCTTTGTGACCAAGTATATGGTCAGTTTGAAGAAGATTTTGTGAGGTGCTGAAAAGAAAGTATATTCTTTTGTGTTCTGGTGGAATATCTGTTACATCCATTTGATTCATAATGTATTATTTTCATTAATTCTCTTAGTTTCTGTTTCAGTGGCCTGTTCATTGGTGACAGTGGGGTATTGAAGTCTCCCATTAATAATATGTGGGGTTCAATGTGTGATTTAAATGTTTCTTTTACGAATGTGGGTGCCCTTGTATTTGGGGTATTGATGTTTAGAATTGAGATGTCATCTTGGTGGATTTTTCCTTTAATGAGTATGAGGTGTCCTTCCTCATCTCTTTTGATTGCTTTTAGTTGAAAGACTATTGTGTTAGATATTAGAGTGGCTACTCCAGCTTTTTTCTTGGGTCCATTTTCTTGGAAAACCTTTTTCCAGCCCTTTATTCTGAGGCAGTGTCTATCTTTGCTACTGAGGTATGTTTCTTGTATGCAGCAAAATGATGGGTCTTGTTTATATATCCACTCTATTAGTCTCTATCTTTTTATTAGGGAATTGAGTCCATTGATGTAGAGAGATATTAATGACCAATGATTGTTAATTCCTGTTATTTTGATGTTGGTGTTGCTTGTGTGTGTGTGTGTGTGTGTGTGTGTCTGAGAGAGAGAGAGAGACAGAGAGACAGATTTTTATTTTGCTGGTGTAAAATTATTCATTTTTGTGTTTTCTTGGGTATAGTTATTCTCCTTGTGTTGTTTTCCTTGAAATAGCCTCTGTAGGGCTGGTTTAGTGGAAAGGCATTGTTTAAATTTTATTTTGTCGTGGAATATCTTGTTTTCTCCGTCTATGGTGATTGAAAGTTTTAATGGGTTTAGTAGACTGGGCTGACATCTGTGGTTTGTATGACATCTGCCCAGGTCCTTCTGGCTTTTAGAGTTTCTGTTGAGACATCAGCTGTAATTCTGATAGGTCTGCCTTTATATGTTACTTGGCCTTTCCCACTTCCGGCTTTTAAAATTCTTTCTTTTGTATATTTAGTGTGTTGATTATTATGTGGTGGGAGGATTTTTTTAGGTTAAATAAATTTTCTTCTATGACTTTGTTGACGATATCTTCTGGGCTTTTGAGCTGGGCATCTCCTTCTTCTGTTCCTATTATTCTTAGGTTTGGTCTTTTTATAGTGTACCAAATTTCATGGATTTTCTTTTTGTGTTGGAAACTATTTAGATTTGGCATTTTCTTTGACTGATGTATGAATTTCTTCTGTCATATCTTCTACACCTGAGAATCTCTTTTCCATCTGTTGTATTATTTCAGTGATGCTTGCTTCTGTAGTTCTGTTACTTTTCTAGGTTTTCTGCCTCTAGAATTGCCTCAATTCTTGTTTCCTTTATTGCTTCTATTTCCATTTTCAGATCTTCAACAGTTTTATTCATTTCTCTCACGTGTTTGATTGTATTTTCTTGTATTTCTTTAAAGTATTTATTCATTTCCTCTTTAAAGGCCTCTATCATTTTCATAAGATTAGATTTCAGGTTGTCTTCTTACACTTCAGGATTTTTAGGATATCCAGGGCTTGCTATAGTAGGTGAGCTGGGTTCTGGTGATGCCATATTGCCCTGGCTTTTGTTGATTGTATTCTTATGCTGGCCTTTAGCCATCTGGTTGTTCCTGGTGTCCTCAGGCTTGGTAATCCCTGATGTCAGCAGGCCTCTGTGATTGCAGGTAGAGCTGGTTGTCCTTGGTGGCAGTAGGCTTCCAGGGATGCAGGCAGAACTGGTGGTCCCTGATGGTTGTAGACCTCCAGAATTGGAAGTTTAGGTATGGACCAGAAGATGGAGTTCAGAGGGGACAGAGCCTGCGTTAGGCTACATTATTCCCTCACTAGGATAAATTGTGGATACTCCTCAGGAGCTTCATCTTAGTTAAAAAGGCCTCTCTGGTTCTTAGGTCCCTAAATATCTCCATCATCTAAAACAATTTTTGTTTGAAGTGTTTTCTAAATGTCTGACATATCTTAAGTATTCTGAGGAACCTACCTGGCTTCATATTGTTCACAGTAATGTATTTAAAAATTCAATACTACCTCCATATAACAAATACTTGAAATGACTTCAAGAGTACTAGAGAAGAGGGATTTCTATTTAATGGAAATCCCTCATGGCTGCTAGGCTTGCTGGGGAGCCCAATGGGCAGGGGATTGGGAATGGAGTGCTCACCTGGTTGTCCCAGGTGGCAGCAGACCTCCAGAGATACAGGCAGAGGTGTGGCCTGCAAGATGGAGGACAGAGCTGAGATTGCATGTAGAGGTATGGACTGGAAAATGGAGGACAGAGAAGGGTCCATTCTGATCTTTCTTAAAGAAGATACATAAAATTGCAATCATTACCAAAAATATAATTATTTCTATGCTGATAATTGAAACAAAATTATACAGGTCCAAGTGCCCTATGTCATATTCTCCATTCTGTGTTTTTAAACACAGAAAATATTTTCTTTTTAATATCTCTGCCTCCTTCCTTCAAAGACTTCGCTTTATTATTTTCAAGCTATATACATTTTCTCTATGACTGACTATACTCAGTTTTTTTTCTTTCTTTAGCACCTAAGCACATTTCAAACATACACTACTGGATCAGAGGCTTGCCTGTGCTAGGGACTTTAGCTTCTCAGTCTGGGCCTGCCTTCCACTGCCTGCAGTCACTGGTGCTCCTTTCAAGCTTTTAAGGGCCCTGCTACCCACCACTATCTACCAGACAGGAAGGGGTAGTCCCTCCACACATGAGATGTTTGCAGGCTTCTCAGTGGTCTTCATCTACCAGAAACCAGTCCAGCATTATGCCCTACTGGCTCCATCTTCCATACAACTCTGGCTGCAGTCACTCTGCCAGCCACATGCCAAGCCCTCCACAGGCGTCAGCACTGCCACTGAGCACTGAGCTGTGGTGCCCATCTAGCTGGGGCCGGGGCAGCCTGGACTGGGCTGGGGTTTCCACCAACTGTGCCTGAAGGAAGTCTGAGAAACTGCAGTCTCCGAGGTTTCTGTCATCTGCCCACTCACAGAGCAGGGTGTCAGCTGCTCATAAAGTGCTCTTGTTCTGTCACTGGCCTAGCTGTACAGTAAAAGCAGGTGCTCTTAAAGGGACAGTGTGACCTCATGTTGTGAGTGCCTGGCCTGCCTGAGAGACTGAGGTTACTAGGAAACCTGGTCTGCCCTGTGTCTGGAACTTTTCTCAGGCCCTAAACTTGAATTTACATGCCTTCATATTGGGCGCCAAATATTTGAATAATGACACAGAGGCTTATTAATTTTTATTATAGCTTAGGCCTTACCTTAGGCTACCTCCCAGATAGCTCATCTAACTTAATTAACCCTTTTAGTCCATGTCTGTCATGTTCCAGCACTTGTTCCTTTCACCTCTATGGCATGCTGGTGAATCTTATCACCTCTCAATCCTTCTCCATGAGTACCTCTTTCTGCTGGAAGTTCTGCCCTCCCTTCCTGCTTCAGCTATTGGCCTTCAGCTCTTTATTAAGCCAATAGAAAGGCAAGGGAGAAAGGCTGTCTACAAAATATAATACTGGTGATGAACCTTAAGAATAACAGTATCAAAATCTGGTCAGTTCTCAGCTCTCTGCCAGTATGGAAATCAACATTTAAGGAATACAAAGACAACCTTTACACCGTGTACAAAAATGTTACCCATGAGTTTGAGACCACTATGGTATACATATCAAGTTTCATAACAGCCAGGGCTGCATAGAGAGACCTCGTCTTAAAAAAAAAAAAAAAAGACAGATGGAGGAAGAATAGAGGGGAAGGAAGAGAGGAAAGAAGGATAAACCAACCTAGGAATCATGGAGACCTTAAAGATCCTACTCTCAAACAGTTGAATAATGACACAGTAAGCTAGTGTTTCCTCAAAGACCTACCCTGCTTTTCTTTGGAGTATCATCAAGAATTCACAGATTCTCTTTACATTATATTGTATTTCATTTTGTTATTTATTATCCCTTATTCTCTTTCTCTTTATGTCTCCCAAAATGTTTATGTGTGTGTGTGCGTGCGTGTGTGTATGGTGTTAAAATCAAACCCAGGGCCTTGCACTGCTGCACAAACACTATACCAAAGAGCTTCAAACCAGCCATTATTTTTTGGTCTATGTGATCCATGTTGCTATTTAACCATAAAGTATGGTTAAAGTCGGCTGTTTTAGGCCTACTTTAATATTCTATTGACAAGAATACACACCCACCCTGACTGTCTATTGAGCACCCCTGTCACCCTCCATGGTTATTTTCAGTATCAGCAGCAATTTGCCATTGAGTCTCTGAGACCCAGCTGCCCATGCCACGTGCCTCAAGTACTCCTTCCTCTGCAACCCTGTGGTGGCCCTGGCCTGCCTCTTCTACACCCCAGTAACCCTTTTCCAGTAACCCAATTCTCTGTCGCTCCATTTTTAGGATCTTACCTAGCCACATGACCTGCTGCCTCTGCAAATTTAAGGCGGATATTGAGGTTATCTGCAAGACAATCAAACTGCATTGTCATACGGGATGTCTGACAAACACCACACATTGTCGTGAGTCTCTTGCCTGATAAATGATTTAATTTTATGTCTTAATTTTTAACTAGTAATGAAAAATTCACTCAAATAATTGTTTATTTTTATTCATTCATCCACAACTTCTTCCTTGCTGAAAATTGAGCTCTCAGCTACTATTACATGATTAAAAAGTAGAACTGTTCCGTGTGCAGAAAGCAAGAGGAAGGAGTGGGTGGGAAGGAAAACACGAAGGACTGCATTATGCTGTTTGCTTGGCATTGTGTTTCCAGTGACTCCATAGGCATGTAGTGCACTGCAGTCTGTAAGATGGTTTTATGTACTTAAGTCTCAAATTCTCTCTGCTTTTTGACATTTCTAGGTTGGTTTTGTTTCATTTACTTTTGTAATTTTATAAGTGATACTTTTTTATTTATAATCTCTCAAGCTTCTGTTCAACATGACCAGTGAGTTTTGTCTTACTCTGCCAATGGAACAGAGAGCTCTTCATGTCCATCCTGACAACTCCCTACTTGTTTTCAACCGCAATCTTTTCTATCACCAGATTGTTCATACAGTTTTAAGTATTTTCTATACTGAGTGTGGTGTCACATGAAAGTAATCCCAGCCCCGCAGGATGCTGAAGCAAGATGATCCAAGTTCAAGGCTAGTCTAGGCAATTTAGTGAGAATATGCAGTGGTAATTTCCAGCCCCAATAAGCCTGTATAAAAATTACCTAGCTATTATATTTATAAGCTGTATGTCTAGATTTGGAAGATCTAACACTGTGCTAACTAATTCTCTAGCTATGGGACCCTTTGTTACTTGTAGTAGTTACTTTGTTACTGCTCTATCTTTTCTTCTTCCTCTTCTTCTGTCCTTTCCTTTTGGGTGGGTGGTAAGGAGCACACATGTGTGCATCACCACATGTAAGCACCTGCTGGGGAGTTTAGAGCACTTTAACATACTACTGCTACAAGAACCTACAACAGTTTGGTTTTAATTTTAAAAGAGGACAGGGATACAGCTCAGTGGTATAGCTTACACTTAGTCCTAAAATATTTTTCTATATATTAGGCATGTTAGCAATAACTTCATACCAAGATATGATACTTTTCTTGTCTAAATAGCTTGAATGCAGATCTTTACACTTGATCTAGGGGATGGTAAATAGAATGAGCATTTGGCTGTTTATATAAATAATAATTACATTATTCTCTTCTTCCCCAGAAATGGCAAGTAAGCATTTCCCTTCCTTTATACATCAGAAGTGTCAACTACTGTCACTTCATGCCTAAGTCATCTCTCCCTAATTCTAGGCTGTTTATAGGCCCACAGTTTTCTTTTCACCACCTCCTTGAACCCTCACTACCACAGAAAATCCTCATAATTCTCCTGGGATAGAAACATAGCTACACAGTGGCACCTTTGACCTTCCCACTATCAGAAGATGTGCGTTACTACCACAGGAAGCTGGAAGAATGAGAAATGAAGTGAGAAAAGGCCCAGAAAAGAGTAGCTCTGACCTTGTGCATTTTATGACTCAAGTAATGTTGATCCATAAATAGCTATTGTTCTGTAAATGGACTGTACATAGGAATGGACTCAGAAAATTAACATGCCTTTACCTATACCTTATAGCTCCCAATCCCAAATATAATGGAAGAACCAGGAAGATGCACAGAGAGAAGGATGCTCCATCCATTCTGGGAGCTAGAATATGTGGCCACAGAGCCCATAGGAAGAAATTGGGGTATCTAATCGAGATGCGGATGAGAGGCATCTGCTCTAGCACTTCTGCCCTGCCTCCACTCTAAGGGTGTCCGTCATCACGGTCAGCTGAGGGTGTCTCAGCACAGGGCACACTACAAAGATGGAGACAGGAAGCTTAACAGGCCTTTCAAACTGAGATGAGAGAGTGAGGGTCTAGGACCCTGAGAAGGTTCTCTGCAAGTCAGTTAGATGTGTGGAGAGGCGAGCTTTGTCTTCAGGCCCTGGGCTCTACTGGTGCATTGGCTGTCTTAAACAGACGTTCTGTGTGCACATTGTGGAATATTCCAATTAAGTGGCTACTTTGGCAGCAGCACTCTTTCTCTTGTTGCCCTATCAAAGGGTTAACTTTAGGTTTGTTTCCCCCATACACTAATGTCACAAGAGTATTCTCTGACCCCTAGTTTATTTGATTAGGGCATATGTCTGTGGACTGAGGAAGGGCTGCAAGTTCTCTCTGACTGAAGGCAATTTCTTCTTTTGACAGTTGAGGAGGCATCTATAAGGAACCCAGAAGGAGCATTCATGAAAGTGTTGCAGGCCCGGAAGGGGAACACCAGCACTGAGCTGACTATTGAACCAGAAAGGGGCAATTCAGACAAAGATTATGCCAACTATTCCAGTTCCATGGATGAAAAGATAGACTTTAATGATGAAAATGATGTTATGAGCGCACTAAATTACATACTGCCGTATTTCTCAGAGGGAAATATGGAAGACGTAATGTCCTCAATGTTACCATACATTAAACTGCTGTTTTCTCATGAACAAGATGCAGGTAATTCCCTGGGATCTTTGCAGAAGGACACAGAAAGTGTTTCTGTTACAAATGAATCTAAGTCCAGTAATGTCACTTACAAAAATAAATTGAATAAACTTTATTTTTTAGAAAATTTGGTAGACACAGAAATAGATGAAGTTCAAAAGGAAGAGAAACCTGGGAGGCACAAGGCAAAATCTAAAAATGTAAGTCCCAAAATTAAACGACGAGTATTTGAAAAGAGATGGGAACCTGCCCAGGCAGAGGAAGACAGTCTTGCAGAGATCGAGAAGGCAGAGAGATGGCTCCACAGTATGAGCAGGGTCCCCAAGGGGACAGGAAACATACAGAAAAGGCACTCCAAGGAAGTGAGGGGCAAGAGCCTGTGGAGCAAGCAGAGTGTGCAGACACCTGTGGAGAACATCTTCAAGGACAGGCAGCTCGGGAGCCCACCATCAACGGAGCTACAGTGGCTCCGTCTGGAGCAGAGGCCCAGGGAGTTAGTGGGGAATTCCTTCCCCTCAGAGCCCTTGCTCCCAATGGAGCACAGGGAGGAACTCTCTTCCTCCCCAGAACCGTCCCTGGTGGACAAGGCTCCCACTACAAAATCGCTACCTGAGTTCATAGACAGACGAAAAGACTTGTCTTACACCATTTATGTTTTAGAAAGTGCAAAGGCTAATGTGAAGAGAACGAAGGGTTCTAACCCAAGTTTACAATCTGAAGAGAGACATCGAAACCTCAGGAAGAAAAAATCTCATTTCCAATTGATTGCAAAGAGGCCGGCAGCATCCTCTGCAGTGAGGAGCCTGATAAATTCCCCTGCTCGAGGGATCTTTTCATCTTTAGGAGACCTGAGTTATGCAGAAAGGCCCTTTTCAGAATTGTATGTTGCTTCAGAACCTTCTATAGAAAAGCCTCTTGAAGAAACTCAGGCTGCAACAGATAATGTTGAAGAAAATATTCTTGAACCAATCCTCACTATGCCTGAAGAAATTACATCAGAAAATAAACCCACTAAGAATCCTGCTGCAGATTCTGATATACCTATACCCAGTGTACCAGGCTTAATTCCAACTGTTCAGCAAACCAATGAGCCACAGGTACACTTAATTTTTGGGTCTGACTCACCTAACTTCAATGAACTGGTTTACCCATCACTGATGACGCCAGGAGAACAGTTTGAATCTCATCTAAACCAGCATCTGGGGGTGCTCATCCCCAACAACGATGTGAGAAGGCTCATTGCTCATGTTATCAGGACGTTGAAGATGGACTGCTCTGATAGTCAAGTGCAACTGTCTTGTGCCAAGCTCATCTCCAGAACAGGCCTCCTGATGAAGCTTCTCAGTGAGCAGCAAGATTTCAAGCTGTCCAGGACCGACTGGGATACAGACCAGTGGAAAACTGAGAACTACATCAACGAGAGCACAGAAGCCCAAGGCGAACAGAAGGGTCTGGAACTAAGCCAGGTGAGGACAGTGCTGGGACACAGGGCCACAGTCTCCCCAGTCAGTTCAGTAGAAATGACTAGAGGCTCCCACTTCAGATCTTCTGCTGGCCACATAACTCTAGCCCAGCCAAGACAGTTTGATTCCCACTGTGCTTTTAAATTTGCTGCCAGAAGCAATCTAAAACACAAAGTATAATATCTGCATTAGATAGGTAGCAATCCAATCTTGATATATTGGATGCTACTGAAATAGAAAATTTTTATTAGGGTTTTTTTCTTTTTTTTAACAATTTTTTTCTTTTTTCTTTCTTTCTTTTTTTTTTTTTTTAAGTTTTTCCAGACAGGGTTTCTCTGTGTAGTCCTGACTGTCCTGGAACTCACTCTGTAGGCCAGCCTGGCCTCGAACTCAGAAATCCGCCTGTCTCTGCCTCCCAAGTGCTAGGATTAAAGGCGTGTGCCACCACTGCCCGGCAGGGGTTTTTTTCTTATTGTCATTTCTTATTACAGTGCTGGGCATTAAACTCAGGATGCTGTACACATGGTATGCAAGGGCTTGATCACTAAGCTATGTACTCTACTCTTAGTTTTGCTTGCGGTTATTGGTTATTTGGTGACTTTTTTTTTTTCATTTTGTTTTGTTTTTTTGTTTTGAGTTGGGTTCTCACTATGCATTTATGGCTAACCTGGAACTTGTTAAGTAGACCAGGTTAGCCTTGAACTTACAGACATCCACCTGTGTCTGCCTCTAGAATGCTGGGATTAGAAGTTTGTGCCACCACACCAAGCCCAGGTTTTAGTTTCATTGATCCAAAGTCTTACTGTATAATCCAGGTTAGCCAAGAATCCACCTGGTATTGGTGTCAAGGGTTGTCCTTGAACTCGTGGCAATCCTCCAGCCTCATACGCCTGTGTGCTAGGTTACATAGTTATCATGAACAGCTCAAGCAAGAATGGATTGTGAACAATTAGCCTTCTACTTCTTTCATTCTTTTTATTTTATCATTATTTAACAACAACAGAAATGTCCATTTATCTTATATATTTCAGCTTTCAGATGAAGTTTCAGGATTTGGCTACAACAACAAAGTCATCTTGGCGATGTCTGTGACCATCGTAGTGATAGTTTTGATTATTGCTTTCTGTCTCATCGAGGTAAGGACAACAGTACATCCTTGTATCCAGAACGTACCCTGTCTGTGTAGTAGATTTAGAACCTGTAAACTGGAAACCAGAGCCACTTAGCCTCTCTGTCTAAGTCAAGTCCCCGTGTGTTCGCAGGTTTTCTGTATGTGAAACATGTCTCCTCAATGCCAGGTCCTCATGTCACATTCTGATTTGGAATCAGAGGGGTGGTTGATGTGAGACACTCTGGAGCAATGAGTGAGTTTTCTCTCAGTGAGGACAGGCTCAATTTTAAGCTTGAAAAGCAGAGATCTGCATGGGGTTGGTTTACAAACCCCTGGGAGGATGTCCACTGGCCAGTGCACAGACAACACCCTCCACACCTTGTGGTGGTTGTAACCTTCTGGGAGATTTCTGTACAGTCCTGTGTTGCTCTTTCGTTGTGTGTACAGTTAGTTCAGCCCTGTGCTTGCATTTCTCCACACTTTCCTTATTTCTTCTGCCAATTTAGATGACGGGCTTTGTGAGAAGAGGAAGTGTGCCCAGCGCACTGCCTGTAGTAGATAGCAATGATGTTCAAAGACGAGAACTGACACATCCCATAAGTTCCACTACTCAAAATAGCATCAGCAAGACATTTGGCACAGTTCTGTAGTCCCAGCACTTGGGAACCAGGAGCAGGGTGATCAGGAGTTCACGGACATCCTCAGCAATTTAGTGAGTTCAGGCCAGAAATGCACAAAATGATCTAAACAAACAAACAAGCAAACAGACAGACACAAACAGAGATCTGAGAAAATAGTGACAGAGAAAAGCAGTGACCACACAGGTGCTGCAGTGACTATACACAGGGTCTGAGGCCTGGGATTTGTCTGTGGCCTGTGCACGCTGAGTAGGGGTTGCATTCCTACACTTAGTAAGACTTGGGAGATGTCACCCTTTAGTAGTTTAGTCAGTGGTGAAAACTGAATAAATTATAATAGAACAACCACTCTTCTGTGGCCAAGCAATGAAAACTTGCTATTTTTCGCCTTAAAGGATGATAAAGTAAAAGCAGAAGTCATTTTAAAAAGATATGTGTGGAGGAAAGTACCTGTCTAGTTCTGACTCCACAGGCAGGACCTTTTTTGTGTCTCAGCACTGCCTTTGGCATCCTTAGGAGAGCTGGTGCGTGTGCCAGCCGAGCACAAGTCAGTCCTCCATTATTGTCTGACCTAATTACAAACCTTCTCAAGGAAGATCGTGTATCCGTCTTCTCCTAGGATAAAAGAGCCACTTAAGGCCAATGGGCTAAACCAAGAGCAGAGCTGTGCTCCCCTGGCCCTCAAGCCTGTGTCCCACCCTTCACACCCCAGTCAGTTTTGCCTCCTTAGAGACAAACAGGAAGTACTGGAAGTTGGAAAGCACAAGGACGTGTCGCAGACCATCCAAAACATTTGTATACCTCATAGACAAACAACCCAGTGGAAAAGGAAATGCCTCTTACCAAAGCCACTCGTCTGCCAGCGCCTCCCCCCACTGAGGTTTGCTCTGGTGAAGAGGCTTTGCCCCCTCAGGCACTTCCTGCTGCTACTTTCTAGCACATTTCTAATACCGTTTTGTCATTTGTACCTGCTTCTCTTGGTTTTCCTTTCTTGTTTCTTTGAGGCAAGGTCTCAAGTAGCCCAGGTTAGCCAACAATTCACCACTTAACCTAGCCTAGCCCTCAACTCCTCATCCTCCTTCGTCTATCTCCCTAGTGGTAGGATCACATGATCCATCATGCTGAACAGTTATTTCTATTTTTTATCCTTCTAAAATTTGTTTCATCTATCTCTCTGTTTTTTAGTAGAGTTTAGGGCAGGGAATCCTTTTCCTCCTAAGTTAATGTATAATTTTGTTCTGAGTATGGGTACCTGCAGAGGCCAGAAGGGTGTCAAATCCCCTGGAACTAGAATTGCAGGCTATTATGAGTTGTCTGCCAGGAGTGCTATAAACTGGACGCAGACTACTGACCCATCTCTCTAGCCTAGTTCACAATAATTTTTATTGAATCATTCTTTTTTATTGGTCTAAGATACCGCCTGTTGTTCTTTCCCATTAGTCCTGCTGCCTTTTCTTTACCAGAAACAGGGCCGTACCACCAAATGTGGCCTTGTGCAAGAAAGCAAGCAGCCTATCTTTGAGATAAATCCCCTGCCTGTCTCTCCTTGTTTTGAAGATTTATTTTTATTTGTCTGTATGTATCCCTATGTCTGCTCCATGTGTGTGGGTGCCCGTGGAGATCAAAAGAGAGTATTGGATTCCCTAGAGCTGGAGGTACAGGCAGTGTGAACCACCCTCTATGAGTACTGGAAACCCAACTACCATCCTCTGGAAGAGCAGGAAGCAGTCTTAACCACTGGGCCATCTCTCCAGCTGCTTCTGCATGTATGTCTGTGAGCATGTACACATGCTGCCTGCAGAAGCCCTACGAGGGTGTGGGGCCCTGGGACTAGAGTTACAGGCAGTTGCAAGCTGCCATGTTGCCTGCTGGAAATCAAACTCAGGCCCTCTGGAAGATCAGCTTATGCTGTTAACTACTGATCCATCTCTCCCACCTCAGCTTTGTAAATAAAACAACAACAAGAAATGTATTAGTCAAGGCCATTCTATAATGAATTCTAAGCCAGCCAGGACTACATAGTAAGACCCTGTCTCAAAACAAAACGTTTAATTATCATGTAGTGGGGCACACATGCAGAGATCAGAGGGAGTTAGTTCTTGACTTTCCACCATGTTGGATCCCAGCAATAGAACTCACTCAAGTAGGGTTGGTTAGAGGCATCTTTACTTTCTCGGTCGGCTCTCTGGTGCTGGGCTTCTATGTTTTGAAACTGTAGCCAAGACTGACCTGACACTTCTTCCAGAAGAGTAGTGAAGCTTTTATCACATAGAACGTTCGCATCTTTAGTTAAGTTTACCCTTGGCTCCTTTCTACCTCTTCATCCATGTTGTACTTACAGTTTCTAGTATGGAGGATGTGTGAGGGGCCTTTGGGTTGGTTTGCAGACCTCCTCATTTTGTGACTTAGCATCCTACCAACATTTTATTGCTTCCAATACGATTTTACTTGATCTCTTTGGCTTTGGTTGTTTCTAATACAAAGAGTACTAGTTTTTTCCCTTCCCAACATGTCCCTACTTGTTTCCCTTTTTGCATATTGAGACCATCTTGACATGGTGGCCTATAGCTGTCATAAAGGCCTCCTGTCCTTGTTCTTGGTCTCTCAACAACACCATTGTTTAGGCTTCTGGTATGCGCTTTGATAAAGTTAAGAGTATTTCTTATTTTTCATTTTTAACAGAAATTATTTTTATTAGGAATTGTTTTCTGAATTTTATCAGTACAGTGTATTAAGTGAAACCTTAAGCTAGGTACTGTGAAGAGAGAGAGACTAGCTCAGCGGGGCTCCTGTGCTCACTGAGCGGGGCTCCTGTGCTCACTGAGCAGCTAAGACCTCAGAGAAGTGAAGGAATGAGTGGATTTAGAGACAGTGGTCATTTTGGTAATCAGAATTGTGTTTTCTTCCAAAACAGGTTTATTCTTACAGAACAAAAAAGGGAGATGAAGAAAACCCCACGCGGTAAATATGAGAAACTCTTTCAAGGAGTAGCTAAGAGTTAGCAGAAATCTTGGAACTCACCTAAGTTAATTCACTCATGTGATTGGAAGACAATTTCCAGAAAGAATATTATCCTCTCTGTTGTTTTTCCTGGCTCCCAACGAGGCAGCTGGTACCAGCATGGGTACCTCTGGTGTTGTCAGGCCTTCAAAGAGAGTGGAAACCCATAGGTTTGAGCTGTACCAGCTTTTGCTAGTGCCCTCTGCTGCCCACCACGTTGAGTGCAGGGCTGTGAGTGGCAGGACACAAGCTCCTCCTGTACAGAGAGGAGAGCCATCTTCTCATCCTCTTGGTCGCCGTTTGGTCCTGTTCTTTCTTTTACTGACACAAACCTCATAGAACTATGGCCAGGAGAGACTATGGAAAATAGGTACCTCTCTTCTAATGAAATGAAGACTGGAAATGATGCCTGGCTCTATGGCCACTTTATAGGGCATGTCAGAAAGAGGACCATTCTCCCTGGTGGGGCCCTTGTCCTTTCATTCCACTGTGCTCAGCCTTTGGTCATGTTTCATGATAAATCTGTACAGCATCTACATCTGGAAAACACAACCCAAGTTTTCTAATTCCCTTGGAATCAGAAAGGATGGCCAGTGTGTATTAGTGCTAGTCATGTCCTTTACTGCCTCTTTTTTTTCAGTCATCAGTAATGGTTTTAGTTCAGGTACAGCTACAAGCACTTTTTTTTTTTTTTGAGACAGGGTTTCACACTTAGCTCAGGCTGGGCTGAAAGTCCTATGTAGCCAAGACTAGCCTCAAGACTCTTGTTTCCGATTCCCAGGTACTAGAATTAGGTATAATCCATCATGGCCAACTAGTCATGTCCTTTAAATTGTTCTCACAACTCACTCATCAGAGGCAGTCTGCAGGGTGAAATTCTGAGTTCATGAGCTGAGCCTTGCACTTGGAGCTGGGCAGACAGGAGCGCCCCACTCCCTCGCCTCAGAAAATCTGTAAGAGTTGGTCAAAAGCACCAATGTGAAAGGCTCTGGAGAGCAAAATGCTTCTGCCTGGGGTGGTTTCTTCAAAGAGATAAGTTTGTTGAAAGGGATAAGTGAGGCTCTAGTCATGCTGGCACTTTGGCTGTGCTCCAGGGCAACCTATAGCCAAAGATCTCCCCAGCGGCCTTGTGGGGCTCTTAGAACAAAAGTTCTAGAAGCCAGGCATGCAGGGAAGTGTTCTCAAGTCCCAGAGCTGGGGTGATTTTCTTGTGGGAAGAACCAAGATGTCCCCCAGGAGAGAAACAAAAGAAAATGACTCAGTCACTAATTGACTTCTGCATGTGTTTTCTTCCAAGGGGTAAGAAACACTACAAGGAAAGCAAGAGTCAGGTAAGCTTGAGACTGGGTGCTATGGAGGAGATGGCGGGGTAAGCCAAATTAATGTCTCTCCTTCTGTTTCCTAGAGAAAATTTGTCTGGCTAAGGTGTCCACTGTGGCTTAGAAATATATTCAAAAGAAAGAAACAGGCCAGGACATCTCCCAAGAAGTCTCAGGATGAATCATGGTAAATGTCTCACTCAATGAGGAGCTAAGGGCAAGTTGTTCATTTCAAAGTTTGAAAACCTTGGCATTGTTCTTCCAGGGAGGTCAAGAAAAAAGCCTCAGTAGCAAAGAAGGCCCCTGAAGAGGATGAGAGTGAAACAGTTGAAGTCTCAGAATGATCTGCTATCATTTATTAATAAATTATTTTTTGTAGATTTGTGTCAAATATACATGAAAATTGATGCACAGCAGATGAGATTGTGAGCCGGTAAAGTTGGCTCCTCCCCACTGTGTGCAAGCAGCTACTGTGCAAGCCTTGTGCCCTGGAGTAAGTAAGATGAATACGGCGGTTTGAAGGAGAATGGCTCCCGCTGGCTCATAGATTTCAATAACTGGTCCCCAGTCGGTATGGAACTATTTGGGAAGGATTAGGAGGTGCAACCTTGTTGGAGGTGGTGTCACTGGAAGTGGGATTTGAGGTTTCAAAAACTCAGGCCATTCCCAGTTAGCTCCCCTCTCCCTCTCTCTTTTCTCTCCTCACCCCACCCTCATTGTCCCTTCCTTCCTCCCTTTCTCCCTTCCTCCTTTTCTCCCTCCCACCCACCCTCCCACTCTCTCCTACCCCATTATACTTTTTTCTTATTTATTCTTATACATCCTGACCATAGCCTTCCTTTCCTCCATACTACCCCAACACACATACACATCTCTCTGCCCCCTGAGACCCACTGCTCCTCCATTTCCTTTCAGAAAACAGTAGACCTTGCAGTGATATCAAGCACACACAGCATACAAGGTGCAATAAGACTAGGTACAAACTCTTACATCACGACTGGACAAGGCAACCTAGTAAGTAGGAGGCTGTCTTAGGTAGGGTTTTCTGCTGTGAGCACACACCATGACCAAGGCAACTCTTATAAGGACAACATTTAAATGGAGCTGGCTTACAGGTTCAGAGGTCTACTCCATTATCATCAAGGTAGGAGCATGGCAGCATCTAGGAAGGCATGGTGCAGGCAGAGCTGAGAGTTCTACATCTTCATCTGAAGGCTGCTAGCAGAATACTGACTTCCAGGCAGCTAGGGCCAGGATCTTAAAGCCCACGCCCACAGTGACACACCTACTCCAACAAGGCCACACCTACTCCAACAAGGCCACACCTACTCCAACAGGGCCACATCTTCTAACAGTGCCCCTCCCTGGGCCAAGCATATACAAACCATCACAGAGGGGAAAGGGTCCTAAGAGCAGACAAAAGAGTCAGAGACACCTCCACGTCCACTGTTAGGAGCCCCACAAACACCCCAAGCTAAACCAATCACAGCATGTCTGCAGAAGACCTAGCACAAACCCATACAGACTCTATATGATTGTTGCTTAGGTCTCTGAGCCCCTGTGGGCTTGGTTAGTTGACTCTGTGGGCTTGTCTTCATGTAGTGCCCCTCCACTCCTCCAGCTTGCTCACTTCTGTCCACATCTCTTTCACAAGACTCCTCGAGCTCCGCCTGATGTTTGGCTGTGGGTCTTTCCATCTGTTTCCATCTGCTGCTGGATGAAGCTTCTCAGGAGACAGTTATGCTAGGTTCCTGTCTGCAACCATAGCAGAGTATCATTAATAGTGTCAGAGGTTGACTTTCTCCCATGTGATGGGTCTCAAATTGGGCCAGTCATTGGTTGACCATTCCCTCAATCTCTGCTCTGTCTTTATACCTACCTTCTTGCTGACGACCTTGCTGCCTATTCTTGTCTTTGTTGGTTCCTCATTGTTTAATCCTTTATTGACTCAGAACTCTACTCAGTAGTCATTCCAAGTATGCTATGTCCTCTTTTATACACTGTTGAGACCCTATTCTGCTCTAGACCATCCACTAGGCCAACGTGACTGCCTATAAAAGATTCATTAATTTTAGGACTATGCTCTGCCTGTTTCTAGCCTATGACTAAATCTCATAGACATTTAGGTAATATAGATGGTATTGAAAAGATTATAAAACATAAAAAAAAAATAATGTCTCTAGTACTCTTCTCCATTTGTTATTCAATTGGACAATCAATTTTCTTTATACACATAGTTTCTACCCCCTTTTCCCATCTTCAAATATAGAAAATATCTTAAAGTAAAATCAAAAGACATCTTAAGCACCTTATAAAGAGGAGTGTGTATTTCATCCCCATCACAGCCACCGGTAGCCTGAAGGAAAATGGTTGGCAGCTGGGTCTGTGGTAAAGGATTGAATAAGATGTCCCAGCAAATAAAGGCTCCTACTGCCAAGCCTGACAGCCCGCGTTTGATCCCCAGAACCCATACAATGAAAGGAGACTCTGACAAGTTGTTCTCTGACCTTCAGGTGCATAGTGAGCCACACACACATACACACTCACATATAAATAAATGCAACTTAAAAACAAGGATTTAAAATTTTTTAAAGTAGTAAAACAAATGGCAGTGGCCCTGCGTCTCCCTCTCCTGGTCTGGGCATTGGCCTGGCAGCACTGTATATTTAGACTTAGTCATGGGTGCTGATGGCTCAGTGGTTAAGAGAGCTTACTGATGACGTGAAGGACTGGAGTCTGTGTCCTAACTACTCTGGTGGCTCACCACCTCCTGTGCCTTCAGCTCCAGAGGATCTTCTGCCCTCTTCTGGTCTCCACAAGCACATTATAAATACAAATAAATCTTTAAAGTAGTTCACAGCCATCAGCTTCATACGGAGGAAAGCAGTTTCATTTTTTAAATCATTCACTCACTCGTTCATTTAATCAGTTGACACACTGTTGATCATTTTTAGTTGGTATGTTGTTCTGAGAATGGAAAAACAAACTATTGGTCCCTCTGGTGCTTAATAACTTAGGAACTAGCGACAGGAACAAGATGAGTGCACAGATCCATAACCATTCTGCTGTTCCTTTGATCACATTGTATAAATATCTCAATGTAATCTTGGACTTTTCCACCAAGCCTCTTTGCTCCCTAAAATAACTCTGAGACTTCTTATAAATGAATAAAAGCCTAGGTCATAAGTTTTGGCTTGTTCCTGCTAGGCTTTTTCTTGACAGGCGATGCTTTCACACAGTGCATCTTGGTTCTCTCTACATTTCCCCTATTTTGTCTACTAAAAGGCTCTTTTTCTTTCAGAAAAAACTATAAGCAATAATACAATTGTAGAAACTATCAGGATTACATTCATAACGCCCAGTCTGTATGAATTCGGCAACTTTGAAGAAAGTACCCCGCTACATTTCCCCCTTTTTGTCCAATTAAAAAGGCTCTTTTCTCTCAGATATAAATTGAACACAGTTACAACAATTATGCAACTTATAAGGTATGATGTACACTTATAATGTCTATTCCATCATATTTGGAAGTATTCTATCATATATCCTAACTTAATGAGTTTAGAATTCTATACCTCAATCATGTCTGATTTCAACTTGTATCACCATCTGAAAACTGTCCTTTCAAATCTAGAACATCTTTAATGCTAAACAACTTAAGTTCAATTGTGAGACAATAACTAGTCTTCAACCCCATCAGAGATTTGAAAAGAAATTAAATGTTACATGAATACACAGGAAACACAAAGACACAGCTTCCAAAAGTTATACAAATGTCAGAAACAGCTGACTTCCTGGACAGTCTCCAATATTCCTTATAATGTTGGAGCATGTCTTTAGCTTTCTGGCCCAGAACATCTGACAGACCTTAAGAGAAGCAGGAAATATGAATGGCTAGTTTAACCTGTATTGGCAGACCTTAGCAGTAGACTATCCTGTGTCCATTTGTCCTTTTTGGACAACATTCTGTCTGCAGATTAAATTGGGGCATTTCTTGCCCAGTGGCTAGCTTGCCACAGTTGAAGCAACTCCACCTGGAAGTATTGATTCTCATCTCCTTTGCTGAAGTGGAATGAAGGTGCTTTCAGGAGCAGACATGTCTCATAGTCAAAAGATCTATTAATAATGAAATGATTTTAAATGCCATATTCTGTGGATCTCTGATGCTTTTGAAGACAATCTATATATAGCATAACTGAATTGTTAAACATTGATTACTTTTAGCTATTCAGTTTTGAATAACCTTGAAAACACTTTATTGTAATTAGCTAAATTAGAATCTAACAAGACCTTGAATTTGACTGAGCATTAACTTGCATTACTTAATCATCCTAAACAGTTTGTAATAGCAGCTATTAAAAGGACTGAGTCTAAGCTTTGTATTTTTAAATGAGTTGCACAGGCATAATGCTTATTTATCTAAGAGCAACAAAATTAATTTTAAATTTTGTATCAATACACAAAGATTTGTACCAGTGAAAATCTTAAACCTGTATCAATATCTAGAATTCTGTACCAATGTAAGAAAATATAATTTCAATTCTACATCAAAATATAAAGATTTCTACCAATGTAGATTTTGGTTATAAAATGCTTAGTTTAAGAGTAAATTTAATAATCTATCCCCATTTATCTAATTTCTATAACATTACTCTATCCCCCCCCTGTTTTCCTTTCAGCCCTCATCCCTTTACCTAAGAAAGGACAGAGAAGAAAGAGAAAATAGAAATTCCCGAGTCTAAGCTCTCTGTTTAGTTTCCTCCCTGTCCAAAATTACAAGCATTTCCAAATTATCCCTTAAAATGACAACATATCTATAATCTATAAAATAATAAAAGACAGATACCCTAGTTTAAGGAGTTGGGATGACTATTTTCTATGACTGCTTCCTGCTGAGTTGGGGTGAAGAATTCTATTTTTAGGGAGTGTCAAGAAAATTAGAAAAACTAGTCAGACTTAAGAAAGCTAGCTGTAACATTTGTTGTCCAGTCTCTGTACGCTGCGGAAGCTCAGAGCTTAACTGGAGTCCTGACTGGAACCATCCAAAAGGCTGGATGAGCCAAGGTCATCAGGGGTCAGCAGCAGTCCTGAAGCTGTCCTGAAGCTGTCCTGAAAGCAAGTCTCTGCAAACAGCATCCAGTGAGGCAGGATGAGGCAGGGAGCCGGAACGGGGTCATCTCTCTGCATTCCCAAGAGTGAATCTTGTCAGAGCTGTATTCTTGGTGATTCATTCTGTAATATATGAATCTACAACCGATATTTAGTTCTATGAAGATATTTGTGTGGAATGTGCAAGGTGCACAGAGCAGTTAAGGATGAGATTGTGTTTCTTGTTTGAGCAGGT